CCCCCCAAACCTGCCCATCCCTCTGATCAACCCACCCCCTGATCAACACACATCCCACCCCCCACCCCCACCTGATGGAAGAGATACCTCACGCTGCGCGACACAATGCCGTCATCGGTGTCCCCGGTGTACGCGTCGTCGCTGATCGCCTCCTCGCGCCCCGACATGGTGTGCGTCTTGCCAGAGCCTGCAGCCCGGGGGCCCGGGAGGCAGGGGGTTGGGGCGGGTCTTGGGATAGCTGGTGACGCGGCCCACGGTCCGCGGCCTGAGGCAGCCCGGCAGCTGCAGGGCAGCGTCCAGGACAGGTTTCATGACAGCTTACAGGGCAGCTTCCAGCGGTGGGGCGCTCGCGCCGGGGACGGCGTCCTGAGCGGACGCCGCGCTGCTGCACCTGCCGTCCCACTTGACAGCCGACACACGCGAGCTTGCGGGAGCCGTGGCTCCCAGAATCAGCATCCAGATAACTCGGATGCCATCACTGCCGCCGGCGCGCACCGCACCCTGCATGCCGCCCGCCCCGCGCCTCGCATGCCCCACAACCCGCGCGCTCTGCGCCCAGCGCGCCTTGCTGCGCCCCGCTGCACCCCCTTGCGCGCCCCCCCCCCCCTGCGTGCGCACCCGTCTGCCCGTAGGCCAGTATTGTCACGTGGTACCCCGCCAGCGCCGCGTCCAGCAGCTGCTGTATGCCGCAGAGCGCCATGACGTCACCCTGGCTCGTGTCTGGGCCCAGGCAGGCGTGGAACGCAAAGTCGCGCTGCATGCTCGCGCCGCCCGGGCCGGGGACCACCACCTGCGGGCCGGCGCGGATACGCCGCAGCGAGACGGCGCGTCGGGACGCCGAGGCGGGCAGCGGGCGTACTGCTGCTGGTAATCAGGCTGGGCGAAATTTGCTCGCTGCAGCTGCTGCCACAGACTTCGCACCGACCTGGCTGACACGGTCGGCCGCCCTCGTCAAGCCGATCAGCTGCGTCGCAGCTCTCAGAGTGTCCAGCATCCCTGCGGCCCCGCCAAGGCGGGGGCGGCAGCGGGCTGAGCCCCCGCCGCAAACGAGCGCGGCCGGCGCCCACGCACCTTCATCGCGGCGCCGTCCTCAGCCACCTGCACCACGTTGGTGGCGCCCTTCGCCGCTTCTGGCGGGAAGATGGGCCGCACCCTCACCACCACCTTGATGTTGTCGCTGCCGCCGCCGCCCGCCTCCCGAGCTTCCGCGATCTGCCGGGACCGCGCGGCGGGACTTTTGGGCCCGACCTGTAAGGCTGGCGGCTTTCAGGTGGCCGGCGGAGTGCTGATTGCTTGTTTGCAAGCGGATACGGGCGGGCCTTGCAAGAAAGCAGGGCTGCATGCGGGTGCAGTGCAGAGTGCTTGCTGTTGCCGGAGCGCGGTGGAGCTTCGTTCTGTGCGGCCCTGGCATGCGCACAGAGCACGGCGCGCGGGCACGCCGGGCGCACCTCCTGCTGCTGCTGCAAGCTCGCCCGGAAGGAGCCGCCTGAAGAAGCCAGGGACACGTCTGACGCCGTCTTTTGCAGCCCCCCCGCGCGCCCAAGGTTGCTCTTGCCTGGCGGCGACCCCGCAGACGGGGGCGCCGCCCCCGGCGGCCGCGCCGAGGCGGGGTCGGGCGGCGCCGCCGCGTGCGGCGGCGGG